AAGGAAAACAGCCAGCCAAATCTCCTTAGATGTTTGACAAGAACTTACAGTTATCTCTGTGATTGGCTTTCACAGTCACAGTCATTGTTCTCTTCAGTATTTTACATTTAAAATACCTATGTAGTTACTTAGCCAAGCTTTTTCACAAAAAGAGACAAACTAACATTTGTTTCTCCACAGCTTTACTTACATTAATGCCAGAGGGTCATGAATTTAAAAGATCTTAATGAGTTAAAAAAAAAAACAAAAGCAAAACCAACAACCTGTCAGAGGAAAATTATAAGAATAAATGATTAAATAGATACACTGAAATATAAACTAGCTCAGAATTAAGTCATCTATCTGTAATTTTAAATGAAGAATCCAATACAGGACAACTTATAAATGAAAGTTAGTAGGTAGTTCTGTGTGAATTTTAAGACTGTGAGGATCACTGACATATTTTTGAACATATTCACCACAGTACAGTTTTAGCATCTTCTTTGCTATTTAACTTTAACAACAGCGCACTCGCTACAGGACTTGCCTAGTTTCTTCATCTGCATTCAGATCATTGCTGTGTATTTCTCTACCTTCAGATGAAATAATTCTTAACTCTGTCCAGGTTCCACTAATAACTATTGCTCACATAGCACAGAAATTGTAAAAAGGGAAAAAGATCTCTTAAGACGGATACTGTGCACCATTTGAGGATTAAAATCATCAACAGCTAAGATCTAATGCAATAAATCTCTGTGGTTTAGGGAAGGTGAAAGTATATTAATTTTAGCCCTAAACTAGTGTTACTCTAGCCTTGCTATAGGTAACAACTGTGTAATTAATCTTCTCTTTATCTTTTCTTTGATACTTAAATATGCAGAAGACTATGCTGGTCTGACAAGTTAACATTTTTATTGATATTTTGTATGTTTCCCAAGGCTTTGAAAGAGAAATTGGCTTCCCATACAAAGATACTTCTTCACAGAAAAAATTCTTCTTGTTCAAAACCAAATTGGTTTTAACTCCCACAGCAGAAGATGACCAAATATTACAAGATGACACATTCCCACTGGGGATGTGGATTTAGGAAAAAGCTGAGCAGCAAGCTAACAAAAAGCTAAGCCCTAAGACCTTCAGTTAAAACATCCTGTAAAGAGGATTGAGTTCAGCTACATCAAATCCTCTGCACAAACACAACAGACAGCTTCTGAAGGAAAACCTTTTGAAATGGCCATCCATACTGCAGGAAATTCAAAATTTGTCAAGAACTATAAGAAAACAGGTTAAAAGAATTGCACAACATCCCAATTTAACATCTGACATATAAGGTGTATTACTGCCTAGGTGATGTACTCTAGCTGACTGAGTGCACTCAGTGGGAGTCAGGCATGCATTTAAGAGCTTTGCTGAATTGGGTCTGGAACGTCTAACAAAGTGAATGAGGTTTATGGAAAAGTTAAGTACTTATACAGGAGCTTCTCCACCAACATCTGTGTTTAAGACAATCCTTAATGCACTTATTATCATTGCCATGTTTCATTTCTTTTTTTTTCCCCCCAAGTTTCCCAAGACAATAAAATTTTGCAAAAAGTCTCATTTCAGAAATTATGTTTCCCTTCCCAAACATAAAATGCTTTGGCTACTTCTGCAGCTACTGTCTGAATGTGAAATTACTTTTGTCAAGGGGAGCGGAGAAGATTGCAAGTGGTTGAGTAACACCTCTAAATGTGTCACTGCTTTTTAGCTGAGTCATGTGAATTAACCACATTCAAGCTCCTACCTAAGACGCAATTGCAAAATATACTTTGGTACCTAAGCCACGATAGAGAGGCAGCATATTTGAATTTCTGCTCACAACAGGGTAGGATCAGACAGGATCATTTTACAAGATCCAACGGTGTGACTTTTCAGGCAGCAGTAACTAGGTCATTTACAACCATCTGTTCCTAGCCTCAGTCTCCCTGCGGTCATCACCGAAGCTGTGCACTAACTAATTTTCACCTGCTGATCAGTGGAGACACCTCTGAAACTAACAAATCACCCAGTTTCAGTCAGCAGCTTCTGGACTCCTGTGGGCAGCACTTCCATGAGATTTTATTACCAATAAAGGTAAAAAGGTTTCTCTGAAAGATCCCCTGTAAGGCTTCTGACCCGCTCCACATACAACAGCCCTGTGACAGAATAAAGTACTCTTCATCTGATTCTTCAGACAAAGAACAGAGGGTACATCAACAATTGCCTCCAAATCTTCAACAAAGAAAGTATTTAGGCACCTTGTTAATTTTTATATGAGGAGTTAGGCATCTAAATGCTTGGAGACATGGACTTAAAAGACCTGCTGGAGGTCTCAAAGGAAGTCTGTGAGGGAGCAGGGAACTGATTCACATTTTTCCAAAGTCCTACGTAAGCACTCCAACCACTGCAACATCTTTCCCTTACCATGTAGCTTTAAACAGGGTGAGTAGCTTACTACAATGTCACTGAAACTTCATCTTGGAACTGTGAGAAGATTAATACATAGCTCCAAACCAAAATGGTTTTATTTCATTTGTTCTGAAGACTGACAAAGCAAAACTCTTAATATCATATGCTTTTCAAACCTACCAGCTCTAACTAATGGCACAACTTACACTGAACTTTGGGTGTTGTTACGTACATGTTTTCCATGTATATACCTATTATTCCTTTTATATGTTAAAAAAATATTCACATTCTTCAAATGAGTTGATTTTAGCTTCATGGAATTATCCCCATTTTAAAAAGAAACTTTTCCACGATCATAGTAGTGTTACTTTGACTTTAGAATCATAGAATGGTTTGGGTTGGAAGGGACCTTAAAGACCATCTAGTTCCAATGCCCCTGCCATGGGCAGGGACACCTTCCACTAGACCAGGGTGCTCAAAGCACCATCCAGCCTGGCCTTGAACACTTCCAGGGATGGGGCATCCACAACTTCTCTGGGCAACCTGTTCCAGTGCCTCACCATCCTCATAGTGAAGAATTTCTTCCTTGTATCTAATCTAAATCTACCCTCTTTCAGTTTAAAGTCATTACCCCTTGTCCTATCACTACATGCCCTTATGAAAAGTCCCTTTCCAGATTGCCTGTAGGCAGTGTGGAAGGCTGCTAGAAGGTCTCCCCGGAGCCTTCTCTTCTCCAGGCTGAACAACCCCAACTCTCTCAGCCTGTCTTCATAGGAGAGGTGGTCCAGCCCTCTGATCATCTTCACGGCCCTCCTCTGCACTTGCTCCAACAGGTCCATGTCCTTATGTTGGGGGCCCCAGAGCTGAATGCAGTAGGTATCGTAAAAAGAGCCAGAGGAAAAACTCATGTAGATAAATAGTAAAAGAAAATATCTGTAGGTCAATGAAAACTGCTCAATGAGAAACAAATGGCAAGAGATTATGATCTAGTTTCTATACGACTGGTTGTGATTCTGTATCACAGTACCTCAGCTAGAGCTCAGAGAAGTATGATTTATAAGATGTGAACAGTGCGCAGCATTCATGAATAGTCCACGCTAAATAAGGTCAAAATAACAGCTCACAGAAACTATTAGACTATGGTTTTTCACTCTCATGAGTATATAACAACTTTGAGCAGTAGCCAGCCAAGTAGGACCGCTCCTGAACTGTAGCAAGGATAGCTCCTCCCTAGATTCCCAATGTGCAGTATTATGACAGTGACTGGAAATGGTTGTCAGCTCGCCTGTACTCAGCTGCAGCCAATCAATAAGATACTTGCAATCCTACCGGGGAGGATTAGATATAATTCTAAGGGATATATTCTGTAATCCTCGCTTTTCAAGATGTATGACAGCTATATAATACAGCAAAAGTAAAGGAACCAGAAAATTACATCCTTAGAGGCTGATTTTTTGGTTAGAGGATAGTAGTTGGTGCATCACATTCTCAGGCTTGCAGCTGATGCTCCAAGGGTGCAGCCAGGAGTCTTCATGCAGTTGGTTACGGGGTCGGGGTCTAATGGCCACAGCACCATGCAGATAAGAAATGAAAATGCACTATGCCCTGGATCCAAGTATGGCGAAGTTCAATTCAAATCAAATTGCCTCATCTTTATGAAAAGCAGAGGTCATCCCTGAGTGTATATTAAAAGTACTTTTTTTGGTGCACAAATCTTTTTGTACAGTTGGGGACAACTGAAAAAAAAAAAAAGAATAAACATATCTATGAATGTTTCTGTGATATGATTTGCACATGTGAAGAGGAAGAAGGAGCAGAGCAGTTAGCACTGGAAGTCTGACTTTGATCGAGACCTGCACCTATGCGCTGTGAAGCAGACCCCGGGCACTGGAGACTTACTCCTCCACTTTTCCCTTTTCTCCCAGCCATGTGCTACAAGTGGTAACTCAAACACTGTGCCTGACCTTGTCTAAGCATCGATTAAAACACATGTGGGAGGGAGAAGGGTCAAGGGCAGGTCATTCGCAACTCTTAATGTTGGTGATACTTAGAAGAGTTTGGTTCACCTGGGTTTTCAGTTTGCTTTTAAAGGTACAGGTTAGGGTTTACACTGATAAAGCTGTAATGCAAAGAGTGCTAACAGTATATGCAGGGGCATGAAGGGCTGTGAGCACTAGCACTACTCTCCCCCACTTCTGCAAGAGAACCAGACCACTGATGGCAAGGCAAGACTCAACACTTTCCTGAAGCTGGTTGTCAGCCTCACATTCTCTTCTTTCTCAACATGCAGCTTTAGTTTTTAAGCTTTTTGTGTGTGCTATGAGACATGCATAAATAAAAATGCGTGGTATCAGGTAATTATCACAGCAATTGTGATATCCTTACATAGTACCCTCAACAAATCAAGGGAAGCTTTTCCTTTTGGAGACAGAACATGAAGTGAAGAATATGAAAATTGCCTATATAATGCTGCCACAGGGATGCCTCTCAAATCATTCTATCAGCAAAAAGGAAGCAATGTCTGCTGGTAACAGCTAAAGATCACGTTCTGATTTTAGCAGTTGCAGTTAACTCATTCCCAATGGAGTTGCACTTACCGTGAGAAGGTTTCTAACTGCTTCAGCACTGAAAGGAAACAAGCATCGAGTCATTCAACTGCAGTTCTATATGCAAATATGCTTTTTGGCCCATGAAGGGAAAGCATATGGAATCTGCTGCTATAACCCATTCAGCCAAACATTTCCACACATTTCTTATAATGCAAATGCTGAAAAAAAAATTCATTTGCCACACAGTGTTTTAGCTGTCCCTATACAAGTATGATCACTAGCATGCACGTGCGTTCTGTTATGGATAGAGCACGTGTATAGGAACTGCATGCACGCTGCATACCTAGAGTTGGTAAGAAAAGTTTTAATCAACAGATACATTTCCCTTGACATCCAACAGATATATTACTCATTTTATTCACAGATTATGTCTTATATAATTAAACAGATATTAAGCTGATATATTATGTTTTTATTAAACTTCTGGAGACCATAATACGAATTTTCCCATTTTTTCCCACCATTATTTAACTCCCAGAATGGTGATTCGGTATAAAAAATTTAATTTCACACAAATAGTCATTTTCTGCATTAACCTCTAACAGGGCCCACAAAAGAATCCACATTACAAGCAGTCAACAAAAGGGGAATAAAACCCCAAAAGCTTCCTTATAGTGAAGGTGATTTAGTACAATGTCCGGAATAAAATTCTTTTATAGTTATGAGACTTTTGGTTGATCCTAAAGCATGCACCTAGTGCTGGGAGAATCCTAGCAGCTAGTATCTAAGTATATTAAAAAGAAATAAGGAGTCTCCCTTGGTGAGTAGTGATAAATGTAAGGCTCTTTAAAGAGTGATTTTTCAATGAATTGTGTAAACACATTTGCACTTTAGAATAAAATCTTGAGCAAGTTATTTTGCAGTAGAGAATGAGAATTCCTTTTTCATTCAAAAAGGGTAAGAATAAAGGAAAATACAAAAAGGTTAAATCCAGCAAAGGTCAACATAAAATTATGATGTAATGTGAAGGTAAGTGTTCTTGAACTGTACCTGGTTTTCTGCCTAGATTAATCCCTGCTTTGAGCCTGTGACTGAACACAGGTGTGGAAATCCCAAGTGAGCTGGACTCACGCAGGCATCAGGAAGGTTTTTGAATGGAGGGCGCAGCCTGTCACCACAGATGAAATAGCAAAACTGGGGACCTCTATATTTATTGGCAAAATTCACTGAGCATGCTGATAGGTATTCGGGAAGGGGATCTCTATATATAGATATAGATCAATCAAGAAATTCATATGGGCGATTCATTCATGGCATTAATATATAGGCAAATGCAAACTCACTCTGTCCCTTCCCCAAGCTGGCCAGGGGCTGTAACGACTGGGGCTCAGCACCATGCTAATGCGCAGCCCAGCTTTGCAGAGGCCTCTGGGCTTGGAA